ACATTGCCAACTGTCATACCTAATTTTGTCAATTCTCATTTGGTGCTAATCTCCATGTGACCATATGACTGCACAAGCCATAGCCAAAATTGGAACCAAACTATTTCACATTCAACTCAAACTTCATATCCAACCTTTTTTTTTTTTACCACTTGGTTCATTATCTTATTGAATAATGAATAAGTTTTCCCATCAAATATGTACCTAATTCGAACTTAGCTCGACTCAATTCGACAAAATACATTAAATATATATATAAAATCATCAGTTTCTTGATCGAAGCACATTCAACCACGACTAAATTCATAGTCATATTTTCTTTAAAAAAAGAACTAAGCTAAAAGTACGATTGATTTTCAAAGCTTGAATAAAGTTGAAACATTCGAACTTGAACAACAACATATTCAATACCAAATGGGACGGTTAATGTGAAAAATTCGATGCTACCCACGTGAGCACTATCACCATGTGGGTTTTAACCATTGATTTACTCATAAACACACACACACACATATACACACACATTGGTGTGTGTGAAATCAATGGTTAAAACCTACATGGGGACAGTGTCCACGTGGATAACATCGAATTTGCCGGTTATAATAACAAGAGCCTAATTCATGAGCTATAGTAACAAGAGCCTAATTCATGAGAGATTGGGTAAAAATCTGCCAACAGGACATCTACTTCTTATCTGTAGATAACATAACAAAACTCGTGGGTATAATTGTAGGGTTATGTTTGATAAAACTAGCTGATAGCTAATAAGCTAGCTTATAGTTTATCGGTAATTTTCGAGCTTATAGCTTATAGCTTATGACTTATAGCTGAAAAACTAGCTTATATAATAAAAGTGTCCGGTAAAATTAGTTGATAAGCTAGCTGGAATAAAAAATTTAACTAGCTTATTTAAAAAACTACCTAAAGAAACTTATTAAATAAGTTCGAGTTTTTTTTTTTTAAAAAAATATCCGTTCTACCAAACAAGACTTATTTCAATACAGGGAGCTTATAAGCTAATCAAATAAACTATAAGCTAGTTTATTTGTCTACCAAACATAGTCTATATGTGTGCGTGCGAGTGGCAAAAACAGACAATTCAGAAGCACGGGTTGACACAACCCATTGGCTTGAAATTACAAGTTCAGAGATAACACATACATACTGCCAGAGTTTCTCTCTCTCTCTCTCTCTCTCTCTCTCTCTCTCTCGGATTTCTCCATAGTTAATAAAAAACATTCTGTTTCCAGCCTTTGTCATACGGCCTCATTTTCAGCAGAACTTTCTTCAAAAGAAAAAAAGGGAAGAAAAAATAAATGATGGGTTTGAAGGCATTTGTGGCTACACTACTAGTTTTGTTCTTGAGCACTAGTGCAAATTCCATGAACTTGAGCAGCAGCAGGCTGAAATATACAGAGGAGAGCTACCTAAAGTGGATAAAGATTATGGGTTCTCGCAACCACTCCAAATTCTTGGAGGCCAAGAACAAACTCCAGCCCTGCAAATTCATCAAGGTCCACAAAAACCCGAAATTCGGAGACTTTACGTCTGTTAAGCAGGCCATCGACTCAATCCCACTCTTCAACCCCTGTCGGGTCCTTATTTCGGTTGGTCCCGGGACTTACAGGTGAGGTGACAAAAATGAAATGAGAAAAAAAAGAAAGGAGGCTTAAGTTTCTATCTTTTTGTTTTTCTAACAAGTATGCTGCATTTTGGTTTTTGGTCCATGATAGGGAGAAGATAGAAATTCCGGCTACAATGGCTTACGTGACTCTTGAAGGGAGTGGTGCGGCGAGAACCATAATCAGAATGGACGATATTGCGGATCGGGTCGGGCCCAACGGGAAGCCCATTGGCACTTACGGCTCTGCCACATTCGCCGTCAATGCTCCGTATTTTATCGCCAAGAACATCACTTTTAAGGTTGCTTTTGTTTTCCTGTGTTCAAGTCACAATTATGTTTTCCTATTAGCTAAAAACTGTTTGTTGGTGAAACAGAACAAAGCGCCTCCCCCGCCAGCTGGCGCCACCGGAAAGCAGGCAGTGGCCATGCGCATCTCTGCTGACATGGCGGCCTTCGTAAACTGCAAGTTTGTGGGTGCACAGGACACACTATACGACCACAAAGGGAGGCACTATTTCAAGAACTGCCATATCCAAGGCTCGGTGGACTTCATATTCGGAAATGGACTTTCGCTGTATGAAAACTGTCATTTGCACGCCAAGACCAATACGTATGGGGCCTTAACGGCACAGAAAAGGGAGAGCATGCTTGAGGAAACGGGCTTCTCGTTCGTTAACTGTAAGGTTACTGGGTCGGGCGCGCTCTATCTGGGCCGGGCCTGGGGCACATTTTCTAGGGTGGTGTTTGCTTATACATACATGGATAAGATCATCACACCAAGAGGATGGTATGATTGGGGTGATAAGCAGAGGCAAATGTGAGTTCTAGTTTGTCATATGACTATTTCCATAATAAAGTGTTTCGATAATAATCATCTACTTTTCGGGTTATCCAGGACGGTATTCTACGGGCAATTCAAGTGTTCGGGCCCGGGAGCAGATTTCGGAGGGAGAGTGTCATGGGCGAGAGAGCTAACCAAACAGGAGGCTGAGCCATTCATATCACTTAGCTTCATCGACGGACATGAATGGCTGTCGAGTTTGTGAACTTGGTTGTGTTATAATAATTATTGAAGAATTGGGGCTAACAGCATCTAACCATTGATGTCCGTCATTCTTTTCTCAATTCTGAATTTACATCAGTGATTATATGTCTGTTTGTTATTTGAATTGCTCATTTTGATGTGTTCTTACAGAAAACAACACAAGATGAAAATTAATTGTCAATTCTGCCCTTTTGGTTGATGACATCTTAATAAAAATTTAAGAGAATATTTACAAGTCTTTACAAGTTATTGCCACTGTACATGTTCGAACACTAGCATCGTAAGGCAGCCGTACTTATTTGTTCCCCACCATTCGACTGTACAAATTGACCCGAGTCCTGAAAATTAAGAAATACCAAGTGCTAAATAAATGGCTAAACAAGGAATACTGTGAAATACTATCGCGTACTTACCGAGCACTAGGACTGGAAAAGAGTTACAGTTGCAATGTAACCGTTCTTCATGACCTGCGAAAACCATAATTACAGTTCAAACGAGCAAACACAGAGCAACACTGCTGAGCAAAAGGGCATAAAGACCTCGAGTTTGAAGCATATGATTCACCTCAAAGGCGATATTTGGGTAGCCATACACAAAAGTAGACCCAAAAGGATTGCTGGTCAAACCCTGAGTTTGAATTGCAGCACGACCACAGTCCCCAAGAATTTCCTGCAAAATTTATACACATGCACATACAAAAAAAAAATCACTACAGTTTTCTCTAGATAAACACGCCCACATGTCAAAAAGTAACCTAAAATGAAATCTGTGTTCGATCAAACTAATAATAAGTGTGCTAGATTCACCTTAACTTGTTCCCATTTTGTGCTAGGGGTTATGGTGCATTTTGAGGTATTTGCATCCTCGCGCAATGATCCACCAACTGAAAGATAGTAATATAAAATTAAATGATTGGTATGTATACACTAGAGCAGACATATACAAGGTTAATAGCTTACAATCAGAATCGTGAATCACAAAGTTGCACTTCATATACGAGTTGAAATCTGCGTGGCCAGGATAGTTGGTATGCAGAACGAACTTTTTTATTTTGTGGGTCTGAAATAATAAAATTATATTAAAATTTTGTAGTATTACAGTCACATGACCAGCAATTAAATATTATAACCAAAAGAAAGTACCTGCCCATCAAATAAAATGTCAAATCCACGGGTGAAGTAATTGTAGAAATAATCTCCACAGAGAGTTGTCCGTGGTCGAGGATCTGATGCAGAATGGATTACCATTTGGTCCACCTGAGCAACCCTCGAAAATTAATTTTTCATTACCCAAAAAACAAGGAAAATAGAAGATATATACATGCCAAGATAAAGCAAAACGTTGAAGTTTGTCCTAATTACCGGAACACAGCCAAATATCTTATTAAATCACAAATATCCATTAGGGTGTAAAAAACCATTGCAATTTCATAATTCATCAAGTCTCCCCCACAATGAAGGTGCAATCTATTAAAGAAAAGTGCATAACAGGTAGCATTTTTCTTTTCAAGAGTATGAATGTGTCAGGGTGTGTAATCATACAAAATCTCAAAAGGCATGCTTTCTTTGGTAATCAACCCCCAAGAATACTGATGTTCCACGAGGAAAAACTTAACTAGGTGATACCTGTTTCTGATGAATTCCACAGGGTCGACCTAATTCAGTCCATACATCCTGCATATTTAGGATGAAGTAAAAGGAAAAAAGTTGACATTTATGATCCCGGATAAGACAATCAAAAGGAACTTTTTCATATCAAGTGATGCTAGATGGTAAAACTGAAGTACTTGATACAAAGAAATGCACGAACAACCCCTTCTTGGAGGGACCAATAGAGATCGAGTCAAGTATTAAAATGCCTCTACACAAAAAATTTATAGTACATCTTGATGAAGTCGGACAAAAGGCCCAAGATACATTCAGGAGACAAGATACTCAATTGAGGTAAATAAGAAGCCACATGCCGTAATAAATGTGTGTGTGTGTGTGTGTGTTTATTAATACATTAAAGTTCATACCTGTGGTGACGCACCAAATGGTATATGCTGGCCTCCAACTGTAAACCATAATTCCTCCCCCAACTAATAACACAAGAAATATATTGTTACCACTAGACGTCTAGCTTGTATAATATGAACGAAGATACAAGAGAGGCTGGAAACTCTATATGTCTCAACATTCTAATACCCATCAGAAGGAACATTACAGATACAAACCTATTTGAGTGCCTTCTGAAAATTACGCCGGATGGTGTAGCATGACTAATAATAGTAATAATTAGAAGAAAAATAATATGTTTCTAAAATATAGGAAATCCACCGACACTTATTTCTCTTTTACTAACCACATTTGAGAGCGGATAATATTTGTTTGACAAATACAGACCTCAAGGAATCTTTCGCTCTGTGTAATGCTTTACCGGAAACTGGAGAATTGTGATTTGAAAATAATTTGAGATATTGTAATTAGATGACAGTTCAGAAGAAGGTTATTCAATAATCCAATTTATGTCAAACAAACAGAGCTACCGCAATCAAGTGCCAAGATCGGAGACAACACAACAAATGACTGACCTTCACTTGAACTTCTTCCATGTAAAGGCTGCCAGCTGGCAATGGAGGTACACAAGCCTTGGCCATCAATGACCCTACACCAACTTTATTGTCTGCAGATGAGTCATATATTGAGACACGGCAAGTAACTGGAGTTGTGCCATCAGGAAACTCCAAGGGCAGTTCAGCTTTCAAAGATGACAAAACTATGATGAGAATTAGACCCATAAACAAATTCATTTTGTCCAAATGCAAAAAGGTGATTATAAATAAATACCTTCTCTGTCATGACAGCAGTCTGCATATTGCGACGGAATAGGGAAGGCAAAGGACAAACCCTGCGAAAAATAAAGTGGTCAACAACTGTCAAAATGACAAAAAGTGGCAAAAGATATTGCAAAGGATATTTATTCCAAATTATAAGATATCGGCAAACATACTGGGTAAAAGAGATTGTAAATGCCTCTGTCCTTGTCGTAAATTCCAGGATATGTGGGCCCAAAAAGAGCATAGACAGCTACAAATGTTGCTAGAGTGGACGGCCCCCTGAAAGTAAAATGCATATGAAATAAGACAACTCTATGACATGCAAGAGAAAAAAGGTCAGCTATAGATGCAGTTTATCCTACCCAATCAAAGCAGTGGCGTATCGCATTTGCAGCCGTTTGACATCAAAAATTTCAATAAGGCGCAGCCTCTGATATAGAATAAAACTGATGTTAATATTTCAATCAGTTCATATAAAATATTGGATATCAATATTCATTGCCTCGCTAACACATGTGTCCTAAGAGCATAAATAAAATCCTTTATATAAATTCTCAATCTTGATTTAAAAGAATGATCCTTAATAATCTGAGGTTCATTTTTTAAGCGAACATACCTGTGACCAAGGATCGAATCTCAGATGAAAACCATGATCAGGAAAGCTGATAACAATGTCAAGCTTCAGAGGCTCCTGTTAAACATTAGGAGCAAGAATAAGAATATGTATTTCTTTCTCATGATTTTGTGAGAAACTTACATGCAAGAACGTCTACTTTATCGAGAAAAATGAAATTACATGGAGGACATAAAGAGAATTTCCTAAGCTAATGACTTAGACCTTTCCAAAAGATTGACAATTCCGAAATAAAAAAAAATGAAAGAAATTGTTGAAAAACTAGAAAAAAGATTAAACAATCAACAGCACAGAGGATCCTGAAAACTAGAAAGGCTTTTGAAACAACTGCCACACTAAGAACAAAGGAACAACACAAAGGATACAAACAAAGGAAGTAATGGAACAACTACATAACTACATCGAAGGTAATGACGGGTCAAGGACAAGAATGTCACATCTAAACGCCAAATTCAGACTCGGCAAGTCGGCAATTGACACTTACTCAAGATTTCGGCAAACTTAACTTAAAAGTATTCTAACATACACAAAATTAAGCAAGCAAAGTAGCAAACAACGAAGGTAGTCGCATGCATGGAGTCTAAACGAAATGAAAACTGAGTCGAACCTCATCATAGTATTTGACATGAACAACATCATAAACATTGGGCTGCTGCTCTATTTGTGCAAAAGCTTCGCATATAGGCATCCCTGAAATTCAACAGGCAAAATACACCCATACTCTACATTATGAATATACCATTCATATGAATTACAAAAAAATAAGTTCAGAAATTCTACTGGGATGTTCCAGTCTTTATTAGGAGATGGCCACGCACACAAAATAAAGAAATTCAAAATGATGAAGAACTCGAATCGACAGGTTCGCGATCAATTATTTTCTTCGCCCCAAATTCAAATCAAAGCTACAGATTCTAATCATACTAGAACACAGACATGGATAAAATGATAACGTGCTAAACAAGGCTTTTACCGAGCGAGAAAGGTCCGATGCCGAAGCCGGGCCGGAGATCGAGCACGATGGAGCCCATGGCAGTGCCCTCGCACCTGCGTCTACTCCTCTGCATCTTCTTCTTTCCAAAATAATAAAATGAAAGATCAGCAGCTACTTGTAATCAAATTTGGGATTCAATCGAACTGATTGTAGGTTTACGGATGGGTAGGAATTTTAAACGGAAAATGGGTTGAAAAAATGGGACAGGTAATTCAATCGGTAGCGCTGTCAATTTGAAAGATGAGTAAACTATCAAATCGGGTTTTGAAAGATTTTTTTTTTTTTAATTCGAGATTTAAATGTTTAAAACTATTAAATTAAGTAATAGAATTAACAAAATTCATAACACCATTAAATTAATTTTTTTTTTTTTTAAAAAAAAAAGAAATTGGTGCTTAATCACATAAAATTATAAATAAATTACTATATTCGCATAATATTTCAAAAAAAAATAATAAAAACAGAAATAGACGATACCAAGAAAAACGAACAAGAGCTTCATATTTTCATTAATTTTTTCCGATAACAATCTCGTATTTTCCTTAATTTCTTCATTTTTCCTTTTTTTTTTTTGTAACAAATCATGTGTTAAAACTTCAAATTAACTCTCAATTTAATGGTGTCATGTGTTTTGTTAATTTTATGACTTAATTTGATAGTTTTATAACATTTATGTCCCGAATTGAGAAAAATAATCTTTTAGGCCCCGATTTGATAGTTTACCAGGTCTCGTATTGAAAAACTCCTAAAAAAATGTAAGTAAGGGTTAGGGTCCTTAGAGCACCCACAATGTTTTGGGTTTCTTAGAAAAAAATCACATGCCACGTAAGAAATAGACCTAGTCTAAAAAAATAGTTCACAATGCAATTAAAAGTGGACCTAGTCTAACTTATGTGCCACTAGAAAAAAGAGACTAATTCCACACTTGAGTCTATTTTGGACCCAAGTGAAAACCCGCCTGGTCATTAATTGTTTACAATTTTCTTTTTTATTTTAATAGGCAATATATATATTTTTTTGTATGCATTTATTATTATTATATTTTTATTGGTTGTTTAGTATTCTAGACCTAGTACTTTTTTGTTTTGCATTGGATAGATTTTGGATTTTTTAGCTTGGATTTGTCCATGTCATTATGGACTTAAGTCTATTTAGAGCATCTGCAATGGTACATGAATTGCTCTAATTCATTGCCACATAACCTCAAAATCTGATATGGCATTTCAAAAATGTAGAAGTCTTTCTAGATGTAGAATACTTCTAGACATCTTCTACCCTATATTATTTTATTTTTTTAATATTTCTCTCTCTACCAACCAATTATTATTTTATACGTGTCAAATTATTCTACAATTGACGTTAACCATTGGAGAAAAAATATTTTTATTCTCATTCTCCACACCATTCATCTCAAAATAGATGCTCAACCATTAGAGATGTTCTTATTTGCCACATATGCAAAAGGAGACTCAAAGCATTGTGGGTGCTCTTAGGGATTAGGGTTAAGCCAGAACAAAAAATAAATAAAATATATGCCCAACCTCAGTTTCACTTCCAAATTCTCGTATCTCAAGACAACAAAGCGGTTCCTCCCCACCGACCCCTCAACCCACGAAATAAACAGGATCTCACTCTCCAATCTCCCTTCTTATGACAACATTAATCTTCACCTCCACGGTTGGATTTGGTCAAACCATGGCAAGGTACTCACCGGCGAATCAGACAGGGGAGGCCCCGGCGTTTCCCATGAAGCGCTCCTCGACGGGCTCTGGGGAGGTGGCGACCACTGCGAGGTGGTTGCCAGGTGGAGGGCGAAAATGGGCCGTGTCTCTTTTAGTGGATTGTGGCATTAATATGAGAGAGATTTGAAGAGTTTTTTTATTTTTATCCCTTAGACAATTTGTGAATGAGAGCTTGTGAAATGAGTGTGACCACGTGTCGTTTTGCGGTAATTTTATATTTATAAAATTTTCCTCGACTTATCCCTACTAACTAGTAGTAGTGGCGAGTAAGGGTCGATCCCACAGAGAGTGTGGTATAAACCGTGATTTTATTATATTAATTAAATAAATATGAAAATGGGGAGTTTTGATATATAACAAAATTACTAGCAAAACAAGAAAATGAAATGGAATTAGGAATAAATGATTAAAATGCAAAAGAAGATGAAACCAAAACTAAACAAATAATTTAGAAAATATGAGAATGAAATCGGTTCTAGGTCGGTTTACACTCTTGGTTAACTCGCTCAATTAATGCATTTATCAAATCTCACTTGTCTTCTAAGACTACCGGTCCTAGATAGCAATAAGCTCTGCTACCCGAATTCTCTCTTAATTTTACTTAATCGAAATAATCTCTTCAATTAATTCTAACTAGCGAATAACTCGGAATAAGCTCTCCTATTTTAATTCGCTCGTTGCATTAAAATCTAGGAAAATAGACCGATCTAAGCCACAAACACATAAGCTCGGTTCATGTAACTTATGTTGTGTTATCCCTAATAGTACACGACTATTAGTTGCTACAAACAAAATAAGAACGACGACAATTACACGGATCGAATTCTTAAATCTAGCAATTAACATGCAATCCTCAATTTAGGTGATCAAGCTAAATTAAAGAACACATATTATGACATGTAACTAGAATAACACAATCAATTTTATACGACAAGTAAAACAAAATAAATAACATTAATCGAACATAGTCACCGAGGGTTCAACGTCCCTAGAACCGAAATGAATGTTTAGCTACACATAGGTAAATGATAAAAATAAAAATAAATATTCATATTCTTCAAATAAAATAAAATAAAATAAAACAAACTCCTTTTAAATCACACGGCCGAATTATCTTCAAGCATCCAAAATCTTCAAGCTCTCTGATACTATTTTCTGTTATCACCGGGGGCAATAACAGACTGTTTTTCTTTTCTTGAGTGCCTCCTCCACATATGTAAGAATTAGCTCCTTAATATAATACTTATGACCTTTACGTGAGTACTCCCCAAATAATTAAAAGTTCAGCCTAACTCCTCACCAATCAATTCCAAGATTCCACAAGATTTGCAATTATCTTCAATAGTTCAACCACTCACAACTAATAGCACAACCAATCTCAACTACTGCTCCATTATCAAGTATTGACCATTATTATTCCAGCTAATGATCATGATCCATTCCTTTTTTTTTATACAAATATGTCTCCCATGTTCTTCTTTGTTTTTCCAGCAGTTCTGTTATCAGGGGAGTGATAACAGACTATTTTCTTCCTCTTCTCTCCTCTATTTGTATAAATTTTATGGCCCACGGAGTGCATGTGAATAAATGCATGCTAGACGTGTGAAAATGGATTGATGTTGAATCAATATGGAGTTGTATGAAATGCCCCCATACTCTGTTGATCGGAACTCACGTTCAATATCTCGTCGTTCATAAAAGTGCCCAATAATCTGAAAATAATACACAAAAAAATATCATAGCACTCAAATTTATTTAATAAATAAATAAGTCGAAAAACATACAAGTACGATAAAATTAAGCATATAAAAATACGCTAATAAGTATGTAAAATACACACTTTTTTCGACCAATCAGAGTGTGATTTTTCTTCTCATGCAATTTTAAGAATTGAGTGTGCTTTTTCAGATTTTTCTGAGAGCTTGTGAATTGTGCTTTTTTAATTTAATTTTATTTTTTTTTGTCTGGCGGGCCAGTCTCGCCGAACCCGCGGCCCGAGGCAGGGACGGGTTGGGCCGACATTTCGTTGGCCGCCAAGATGGCGGGCCAGCCTGCATGGCCCGTTTTGACGGCTCTAGGTGACAATAAGCAAGGCCTGCTAAATGTTGGAGAGCAAGCATATATTTTGACTGTTTTTTATTTTTTTTTTATTTTTTTTTATTTTTTTTTTATTCTCCATAAGTTTAGCAAACATAAGATATGTAAATTTTGTTTAGATTTTTGATTTCCTATGATTAATTTTTTTAAAAAAAGTGGTATCATTGGATTTTTTTTGACTTGATACCATGTCTCAGCTTGAAATTCTCAAGCCAACCAAACGAAAGGTTGTGCTCAGAAGGCTGCTGAGGGTATAAAAGTTTCATAGTCTCCTTTGCCTTATCCAAAATTAGCTCTCCTGTAATATTTACACGGTCTTGGTATTGGAGGAACCACTCATAAGTAACCTTCTCCATCTCTGGAAATTTTGCTGGTTTGTGTCGTTTAACATCCCTCCTTTCTCTAAGTTAGCCGAAAGATACTCAGCTAATCTATTGAAATTGTTTGATATTGTACCTTGACTAACTTTCAAATGATATTTTTTATCGAGCCATTGTTGTAATTCTTTCTGAGTGATTGTGGGGTGATCAATTATACTCACATAATGATTTTCGTATTTGATCGGTCATGGCTGATTTTTGAACAACTTTTAGATGAGGCGTCATTGTTGGATAAGAAAACTACACCAAACATATAAAACCCTAAAAATAAAACCACATATTTATAGCTACCTAATACTTGTTAACTAAGAAACCCATTTTTTAATGTATTTTTGTAGGGCTAGACCGGTCCGATTCCTAGCATAATTTGCAGAAACTGGAATCGAATCAAAATAATCAGTTCGGTTATTGCATAAATATCCATAGGAACCGAAAAATGACCGAACCATGTTGTAACGGTTTGGTTTTTCCGGTTCTTAACCGACTTATGAAAAAACAACCGACAATAACCGATTTTTTAGTTAAGAACCGATTGAAAAATTGCAGCTCGCGTGCTAAAATTATCATGCAAAACTGAGAACCGAAATGCAAAAATTAAGAACCGAATATTACATACCAAGAACCGAACCGATTTATATATTTTGACATATAAAACATGAATATTTTACATATATAGTCGGTTCTTCGATTAATACACATACATTTGGAAAGGAACTGGGAACCAAAACCGGTTTGTGCAAAAACATAACCGGAATCGGAAAAAATGTTTTTTTTTTTAAATAACCAGACCGAATCGGTTATTTTTGTTTTGGTTCTCGGGTATAAAATTCCACCCCTATATTATTTACTCTTGTACGTACCTACAAACTTCTTCCAAATTTAATTAAGAATCTTTCCTAACAAGTCTATTTACTCAACAAGTACAAATTACACTTGCCAAAATTTGTATTTGCTAAATCGTGGAAGCACTCTTTAAAGTAATAACTTATTAAATTATTGATTAATTAATATCTCTCTGAGTTAATAATTTATTGTCCCAATATAATTAATTTATAGAGGTTTTACTGTTATCAACTTTACCATCCCTTATTTAAAAATTGAAATAATATGGTAATAAAGTATGAGTAAGTGAAGAGAGGGAGAAAAGTATTTTTGCGAGTGTTAATTATTGAGTAATATTTTAATATATTAAATTTTCATGTTTCTTAATACTACATAAATACAATAATAAAATGACAATTATTTTATAATAGGTGGAATGAACGTATAAATCATATATTAAATTATTATTTATCATAAAAATAAAAAATATTAAAATAACAACAACATACTCAGTATATTACCACCTGGTTAGGGTCTGGAGGATAAGTTGTACGCAGACCTTACCCTTGTAATTATACAAGAAGGCTGTTTCCGTAGCGACACAAGGTGCATTGCGTCGTTTGATATATTTTTTTTTCTAGAAACTTTACTAATAGAAGAAGCACTAGAATTTAATTTAGCCATTTTGATCTAGTCCATTATTAGCACTATGCCAAGAGAATTGTCAACAATGACTCTTCCAGCTCCATTTGCAATGGACAAAAATAAAAAATATAAAAGTTAATATTAATATTAAAAACTATAATTCATATAATTTATTATTTTTGCACGGAATAGTTTAATACAAACCCCGTATGATTAGATTAAAGATATGATATTTGGGTAGGGATGAATTATGAAGTTAGCCAGGAGTATTTTAAAAGAACCGAACTTACTTTGATGTCGGGTGCTTCGGGCCAAATATAAGCAGAATCCACTGGAGATAGGTGAAGATTTTGAGTTTCCTCAAGGCTCGACAGTGCTCAGGTCGATTAAAGGGGTGTGGAAGGAGACTTTGATGGGGAGTCGGTGGTCTGTGGGGGAATGGTCACAAAGATCGATTCTGGTGGAATAGGTGGCTAAATTTTACAGACCCCTTAATAAAATTCGCGACGGCTTCAGTGACAACGTCGGCATATGGTGCATAGTCTGGTCTGTTCGATTTGCAGGGTCGAGAGTGAATCGACGGTCCATGCGTTGCGTGATTGTCCGGAGGCGGCCCAAACCTGGAGACTGTCGGTTCCTAGTAGTCAGTGGAGTATATTTTTCACGTTGGATCTTAGGGGCTGACTCTTAGAAAATCTGACTGACGGGTTGAATAGGGCGGAGAGAATTGGGACTCATTGTTTGGTCTCACGGTTTGACGCTTATGGCGGTGGCAGGATTTAAAATTATTCTAAGGGACCGACATTACTATGCACCAACGGATAAGTGACATGTGGTCCCATGTGGATATGGTGCGACGTGCTTTGGCTGGGAACCATAAACTTGCGGCGAGTGGCGTTCGTGAAATGCGTTGGATCTCCTGGTCGTTCCCAACGGAGGATGAGTTGAAGGTCAATATGGATGGTAGCTTTGATCCGTCGATAGAGATGACTAGCGTTGGTGGAGTCATCCGTGATCACCATGGGACATGGGTGTGTGGTTAATGATGAACATCGGGTTTTTTAATCATTGGAGCGGAATTATAGGATTTGTTTTAGTGTCTACAGTTGACTTGGGATATCGGGGCACGAAAGATTACCGTTGAAGTTGACAGTAATAGTATGCTCGACTGGTGCAGCATGAGCATTACATCCGGTTGTATGGAAGCATTTTGAAGGGAATAAAGAATCTTCTGGGTCGTCCATAGCGAGTGGAGATTGTTCATGACTATAGAGAAGCCAACTCTGTGATGGATTTTTTTAGCATTTTTGGCGGCTAAAGGCCCTAGTGGCCTTCATAAGTTGGAGAGTCCTCAATCGGGGGCAAACATATGATTACGCCATGACTTGGTCGGGGGGTGTCTTATCCTTTGCGGATTGAATTCTAACTTAAAGTATGCGTATGTCTAGCCTCGCCTTCTTGTAAAATAAAAATAAAAATATATGATATTTGTGAATTTGCTGCCAAAAAGCCCGCGTGACTTGACTTGTCCTTTAGAAGCCGTAGAGCCCAAGTCTTTAGAACCTTTCTTCACTAGTATTGCACAATTGATTCCTTCTCCATCTCCCAAGCCTCCATCCTTTTTGCTACTCTTTTCACAATACTTACTTTGTTTTTCCTCTGCCTTGTCGGAGTTTTTATTGGAAATAATCGACTGGTAATACCGTCTACATGGCCGCTGCTTATGCGGCGAGTTGCCGGCGAACCTTGTTATCCGGGGCCCGTTTTCTCGCTCAGAACAGGGTCGGGTCCAGACCGTACTCCGATATCGTTCAATCCAACGGCAAGCGTCTCTTCCTAGTGGACACTCTGGCCCTCGTAAGGGTTTGCTGTTTTGAGTTTTCTCTTCTTTCTTGTCCGAGAAAAAAAGGATTGATTTAAATTTTATCATTTGGAAGAGATAAACATATCAATGGTGGCTCAATTTGGGGCATTCATTTCTGCTAACTATTCACAGGTGAGGAGGTTAGAGGCGCAGGGTGTGCCGTCGAAGCAGGCAGAGGGGATAACGGGGGCTTTGATTGAAGTCCTTAATGACAGCTTAGAAAATGTTTCTCATTCATTTGTTTCTAAAACTGAAATGCAGAAAGTAATATTCTCCTTCTTTCTTGCTTCTTTCCGTGTTTTGATTAAGTTGGTTGGGTGCATTGTAAAATGCCTTGTGGAAATCGAATATAATGGTTTTCGCGCTATTTGTTTATGTTGTCTTTGTAGAATGAAATGACACAGGACTCCAATCTGTCCAAATTCAAGACCGAAGTTAAAAGTTCTCAGGTAGGCAAAGACTCGATTTGCTTAATCCAACGACGTGCTTTTCAGTTTGTTTTTAAGCCTGTTACATTTCTTTGGTAGTTCTAAATTATACTTGGATGTCTGCCATTAGACTGTTAGGTTATTTTCCACAGCTGGCGCTCGAAGTTCTTAAGGTTAGCTAATTTGCCATTGTTGAATGGAGTTGCCCATAAATGTTAATGAAAGATGAAGAAAATTCCCGTTTGCTCAATATGGAAGATATATAATTTGAACTTATTGTTAAGGTCACATTGTTGATTGAAGGATGGTTGTAGTTTCGGGATGTGCTGTTCTGCTTAGACATTAGGATCTAAAGCTATGTAAGTTTTGGTATGCGATAATGCAAATGTACATCTCTGGTGTTTTCTTTTGTGATGCCATTATTCTCTGGAGTTGCTGCAATAATTTAATTGAAATTTGTTACTGTATCAATAGGTATTTCCATAACATTTCAGGAAATTATTTATAAAAATAACTTCGAGAAGAATATGTAGCAAAGTCTGTGTTTGAGTAGTCTGAACAATTGAGCTAATAGGCTGATTTTATGTTATCATGCCTCAGTTCACAAATCGGTCTTACTTGACATCGGTTTCGAAAAAATCAGGGTTTCTTTTTGGAAATATTATCAGTAAGCATCTTAAAATACCCCAACCATTACAAATTTCAATTTGAGGAAGCTGAAGTATGTTTGGAGATGAAATTCTGAATATAGTTCCCTCTTTCTGTATGTCTATTTCACTCACGAGATCTGTTTGTGTGCTTTTTTTGAACCGTTGAAATGTCTGTATTTCTAGCTGCATAGCTTGTTAAGCGAAGCACTAAATAGATTGTTTAACTAAAATATAAAGCTGAATTGTTAGGATGAAGAGTAAAAATATACATAAAAATTATATGTCTATTAACTCATCGGACCGTTCCGTGTGATTTTTGAACCATTGGAATTTTATTTCTAGCTGCTTAGCGTGTTAAGTCAAGCATTAAGTAGATTGTTTACTTAAATTATAAAGCAGAATTGTTAGGGCGAAATTAAAGATATACAGACCACACACACCAGCACTTTAACTACCCAGGCTATTGCTCAACTCCCTTTCTGTTCAGGTCTCCTTGAAAACTGGCCAATGTGAAGAACTTTCGAGAACACGTCAATCAATAAGGAAATTGAAATGCTTGAATAATAGATCCAAGCTCAACAACACTAGAACAACATGATAGAAGCTGCCTATTACCCGCAATACCATCAAAAGCTTCCCCATTCTTGGTTCACTATGCTAAAGATACTTAGATTAATTTTCTCTTCTCGATTTATATTGAATGCCCTTTACTTGTAGTTTCAGAAAAGATTCCCTGCTGAGTCCTTTAGAAATGAAGTATGTCATTGCATGATCGATGACTACTGTGCCTAGGAGGATTTATATAGAAAGTTCCTTGAAGTATAGGAAAAAGGTAAAGTTGGAATGCTTACTTTTGTACCCTAATCCATCTTCAATTTCTCATTCATGAAAAGAAGTTGGAATGCTGACTTTTATACCTAATCCCCCCATCCTAACTCATGAAAAGACATTGGAATGCAGACTTTTGTACCCAAATCCTCCCATCGTCACTCATGAAAAGTGTGTGATTTAGAGTTGAGTATATTAATCACAGAAAAGGTGTGAAGCAAATGATAGAGGTTAATGATTAAGTACACCTTTTCGATTTATGGCATCAATGTTTTGTAATTTGACTAGTTATTGTGTTTGTTTGCATGATTTTTTATATCTTATTATTATTAGTAACACCAGTAGTTTTGTGAGAAAAAAAAAAAGCATAATTAGGATATAAGTTTGGTCTTGCATTTGTTTCCCTGACTTACTATTGTTGAAGGTTTGTTCTTGGATAACGAATCTATCTGCACTGCTATCTATATTGCTCATTTGTATACCTTTTTGTGTATGTGTTTACCATGTGTTGTAAGATTGCCGAGTAACATATTATAAGCATTCAGATTTGCATAGCCCCTCGAGTTAAAATGTTGGGGATGTTTATTTTATTTTATTTTTGTTTTCTGCCTTTTGTATGGATCTATCTGCACAGTCCAATTTTTTCGTCTCTTGTTATTTCCTACCAAGATTTTGCAATTTTATGAGTATCTTCCTCTTTGAATGGTCCCTCTCAGCTTCCACAGGACACACCCACTATCACTTCCTCCATTGCATTTATTTTTGTCGGTAGTTTCAGGTTTTTTGTGCACAGTGGATGGTCTCGTTTGTGGGTATACTTTTAACACAAGGGATTTTTTAACTTCTTTGTAGAGTTTGGTTAAGTTGGCTACAGATCAATAATTACATCTATCAGAGCAAAAGGATGAGAAAATTGAAAATATTAAAATAAAGAGCAATTAACTTTCTTAGTTTTCTATTAGAGGTTTCACTGTATATGCTATAACGAGTTACGTTTTGTATCTGAAGACTCAAATTCTGGAGCAACTTGCGTTCTACAAGAACCATGCCTAGTTAATGTGATCTCAAAAAATGCAGGATCACCATTTTTCTTTGCTACAACACGAGACGGAAAAACTCAAAAACGATTTAGAGAAGATGCGCAGTGAGTTGAGGTTCGTAATTACATAAACATCATGTCTCAATACCATGTTATTTGAATTCTTATTGATGGATAAACGATTCTGGTTCAGGTATGAAATTGACCGTGCCACGGCTGGGCAGCGCTTGGATCTTAATCTTGAAAAGGGGTCAGTGGTTTTGCTACTATCAAAGAGTTATCCTACAATATGTCTATTATTAATTTTATTGTTAAATTGTTGGTTGCTACGTATTCAGGAGAATTCGGGATGAACTGAACGAGCAAAATCAGGAGACCACAAACCTCACTAACAAACTCAACCGGGTGAGTACATGTGTCGACCAAAACTCGATATCCGGTTAAATTGTTTATTGTCTGACGATTTTGTCATTTTGTGGTCTCAGGAAATTCACGAATTACGGGCACAACTTGAAGCAGCGAAATACGAAGTCATCAAATACTGCATCGGTACACTTGTCTCCATTTCTGCTGTTGGTTTGGCTGCTATTCGCATTTTTTTGTAAGCTAAAACCAGGTTTTAGGGTCTTTTTTTCTAAGAATCCTTCACCACTAGAAAAAAGGGAAGTTATGAGTTTAGACTAACAGCGTCAGACATTATTCCGAGTGTGCCAAGGTTTTGGTAATGATTTGACGATCCAAATTGAGAACTTAAATGTTACGCGCTAATTCGATGTTGCCCCTAGGGGCCGTTGTTTTACACACAAACACACACGCCCACATGAGTGTGTCTGAAATCAAGGGCCCCGAGGGACTGACTGCACTGCCCCTAGAGGCATCTTCGAATTTTGCGATGTTACGATACTGACAATGGTGCCCGAGTTTACTGGGCATCGTAATTGTGTATGTATTATACGCATACTTTTTGTCACTTACATTTCGCATTTATTGTCTTGTCTGCTGCCAACTGCCTGCCAAGGAGTTCTTGTATCTTCCATATTATTATCATCACGTGGAAGAATTATGGACACGTAGTGAAGACGAGTGAGCATAACATAACCATCGGTAGCCTTTGAAGGATCTAATAAGTAGTTTTTGAAACAATTAATTTATCAGTTTTGTTTTGGAGCCATCGGATGACTCGACTTATTGAGTCATCCACAGTTATCCTCAAATAGTGTATTGACACGTGTCCAAAGATAAGGCTCGTTGGGTCTTCTTTTTCATCTCCGACAATAAATAATTTGGGCATGTGTCAATACATTAAGTGATAGATGACTCTATAAGAAAATCATCCGATGGCTCTATAGAATTTTTGATTAACTTATATGAAATTGACTCACGAAAGAGATGTGGTCTAGTAAATAAATACTACTATCGTTTAGGACCCAAGAAGAAATTAAAATTGCTAATTAAATATTTTAGTTTCTTTAAGTTTAGTCCTCTAGTTCAGGACCTGTAAGATAAAAGTATTTAATAGGGTGACCCTTTTAATAATTTAATTTTCATAAGAAAATCATTTAGGTGGTCCAATGGGCTTAAATCAAGATTTTTAATGTGAAATTTCAACTGCTTAAGTTAATAATTTTTTAAACCTGTGTAAGTTTTTAATTTATTTTACATGGGCGCGGGTATAATAATTGTAACGCAAATAGAAATTAAGGGAGGTAAATAGTAATATTGTGTTATATTCGTGTTTCATAAAGTATGATGATACTATATTTAAACATAAGTATATTTTTACTTCATGCTTTTTGTGCCATAATCGCCATGTCATTTTTTTTTTTTTTTTA